CGTCGTGTTGCTCTTCTTGCAGCAAGAGCCCTGCTTGGAAATGCTCTGGCTGCCCCACGAGGGTAAAAACCCCGTCCAAGGGGTGGTTTTATGGGATGAAAAGCAGCTGTGAGATTGTAGCGGGGCTGTGGGGAGCTGCTGGCCATGTGGCAAGCAGGGGACAGCATCCCATCCCCGTTGCCATCCCTGTCACCCCATAAAAAGGGGCACTGAGGCAACCCCTGCTTCCCAGCAGGCCAGCTTGCAAGGATGCCCACAGCTCCCAGTGCCACCCAGTGCCACCCGGCCCTTGGGATGTTGACAGTGACTCCAGCAGACGGGTGAAAAAATGAAAGAAGGCTGGGTGTCCTCGGCCACGGAAAAGCTTGGGGGAGCCCTCGTAGTCCTCTGGATTAAACAACCCTCGGCAGGTTGGGGGGTTAAATATAGCAGCTCCTGATTCACCCCGGAGCAGGACGTGGTGGCTGTGGGGCACCACCAGCATCTTGCTCCAGCACCCCAGTGCCACCCACCGCTCAGTTAAGGGGAGTTGGCCGCTGTGTCGTGGCTGTGTGATGCTGATTCTGCTGTTTGCGGTGGTTGCAGCCACTCCACAGGGCATGAAGGTGGCTGTGTCCGAGGTTCAAGGGCAGGAGAAGGAGCTGGTGGAGCGTGGAGAGCCTCTTAGATGCTCAGCATGTTTGGGGGGCTCCATGCGGAGCAGGTTCAAGCAGGTTGACCTCCACAGACATCCAAGACGGATAAATCCACAGGAGGAGTTGGTGATCGTGGTCCATGCTGGTCTCGGAGCTGCAGGCTGGGGAGGAGGGATGCTCCTGAGGTCTAGGACCTCGGTGCTTGCATCCTCTGAATTACCGTGTCCTGCACATGAGGCCTGAGGTCAGGTTGAGATCAGGCATTGCCTTGGCTGCAGGGACCCTGCGGTGGCCTCTGGGGACTCGGCCCACACTGCAGAGACAGGCCCGAGCACCCTCCTTGGCTGGGCTGTAGGATGTACCCAGCCAAGAGGAGTCACCCATGGCTGAGTCCCTTCTGATGCCATCAAAGTCCTTCGTCCACTGTGGACACAGAGCAGGACCGGACCCCACCATCCGCCTGAAACCTTTGGGGCTGGGACGTGGGGGTGACTGCAAGGAAAACCTGGGAGGCTTGAAACAGCCCCTGGGAAGATACCGAGATGCTGGTGTCTTGGCTGGTCTCATCCAGCCATTTTCATGCCCCATGTGACAAGGACACCTCTCCATCCTCTCGCTGCTGCGCTGCGTGAGCGTGAGCACTGATCCTCCGCCACCCTCCTGCCCCGGCGCGGGGGGACGGGCGCTGTGGGACTCACCCAGCGATGGCATTTTCTGGCCCATTGTCACTTCTGTGTCCCAGCCAAGTTGCGGGTTGATAACCTCAAGCAACCAAAATTCCTGGCCCAGGTCCTCTAAAGCACAAGATCAACCAAAACTGTGTCTTTGGGGTTTGCGTGTTTTGCCTCCTGCCTTTCATGAAACTTTTGTGGCATCAGGAAGATGCCGAGCTCGTTAAAAACACGGGGAAAAGAGCAATCAGTGCATCCATTGCCTGCAGGGTCTGGCTATTGGAGCAGCTCTCGGAGATGCTCAGGGGTGGCGTGGGCTTGCAAAAAAGTGTCTGCAAAACCTCCCTCGATGGGCACCGGCAGTGTTCTCCAGCCGAGCGTTGCCTTTGCTGTTGCAATTTGGTCTCCGATTTGGTGCATTTGCAATAAATGGGTGTTTTGTGCTGGGCTGGGAGCTCCCAACCCTCCCGGACAAACTGCACCTCTGAAAGTCGCTCCTTGCACTTTTCAAGTGAGGTGCCGATACACGTGGCTGTGGAAAACACACGCAGGGTTTCAAAATCCAGGAAGGACGCCCCAAAAAAAGCCCCAAACGAGATAAAAAATAACCCCCAAGCTCCCCACCTGCAGAAAGGTTATTTACTGCAGCTCTTTCCTCTGCCCGTCCGGGATGGATCCCAGCAGCTCTGCCTCCAAGAGCTTGATCCTAAAGAAGATCACGCCAGGGAGAGGATGAACCCACCCCTGAGCTGGCAAAGGGTTTTTTCCAGCCGCCCTGCGTGGCTGCCGGGGGGTCCTGCTGCTCCCAGCGGTGCCGGATGCCTTTCTGTTTGCCGTAACGTTTTGCATTCCCATTGCAAACGCTGCTGTTGGAAGGGATGAAGGATGAAAGGAGAGGTGATGCCCCGGGCCCTGGGGTGCAGCGGGGAGGGGTCGTGCTGCAGCCCAGATCGGCTCCTGGGGCCGGGGCGACGGGGGATCCAGTGGGGGGGCTGGGGAC